TTCTAGCAATTGATCCCTCCTGATGATGTGTCCAAAACAAACAAGTCGGACAATATTCTATTGTAATCTATAAGGTTTTCATTGGCTAATTTTCAGAAGTAGATCACCAGACCCTCCTTTCTAGTCTGTCTTAGTCTGGAAGCACCACTAAAGCCTGTCCACCATAGGTCACCATGCCGGTATTTGAAATACCAGCGTCATAGCTTTCAACCTCACAGCAACACACAAGCTACCACAGTATGACAAACTGACATACGGGTGGTGGAAATTCTAATATAGAATGCCTTTTCTCTCCTTCCCAGTCCATGAATGCTTATTAATATGACAAAATCAAATTACCAATTTGTTATGAGAAAGCATTAATATTTTGACGTTAGAAAAAGTATGTATTTTCTACAAATTATCTGCTTAATAAAGAATGAAAATTATTTATCTTAACAGGATAGGAAAACATGGGAAGATATTTTTAACAGTCCCAAGTCTCAGTAGCACAGCAGAGGAGAAGTTCATTAAAAAGGGGGAATTTTCAGGAGATGACTCCTTGTTGGATCTGGACCCTGAGGACACTGTGTTTTACGTTGGTGGGGTGCCTTCAAACTTCAAGGTAAGACACTCAGCTATATTTTGAAGTATTACAGATCTTCAGTGATTGGTTTTATAAATGCATAAGACCTAATGTGATGGGGAAGAGACCTGATTATCATTTTAAGAAAGACCTTAGCTCAGTGGGTGGTAGAACTCTGAAGCACGACTCTATAAATCTGGTGTATAATCCGTTCTCTATTTTTCAGATGTCAAATACTTTCAAGTGACAGCTAACACTTGAGGATCAATTAATTTCATTACTATGCATGCATTTGTAATTAATATTACACCACCTGCTGTAGGAGTGTCTGTACCTTGTTAGTGTCCCCACAATTTGGATCTAGTCTTCAGCTTTTCAGATTGTTGTTTCAAAAACTCAGCTTTCTCAAGTAACACAGGCATGAAATAAGATGTTAGAGATGGTGGTGTTAGAAATTTGGGGAACAGTATCACACCTGATGAAGCCCATGGGAAATAGATTGAGGCATCCACATTTCCACTTATTAATTTTTGCAGGGGAGGGAACCCTGGCCCAAGTACTGAAACTGGTGGTCTAAATAAACCTTCACCTGTTAACCTGGGAATCTTAAGACAAATACAGATCACAAGGTTGCTTGTTTCTCTGGCCAAAAGATTTCCTACTGAGTAATTGAGCTTCCACAAGATTTTAGCCTGTGCTATCTTTTGGAACAACTTGTTGCATAAGCTATTCTCTATGCTGTAAAGAAGTTCTTTGTTATATTTTTGTTTAAATTACTTCTTTGTAAGGAACATACTAGCTCCAATACTCATTGAATCATTTAACGATCCTTTGTCCATATTCCTTATGCTTTTATAAATTTTTATCAGATAATGTTCCTCATTTTTTCAAATTTATTTGATGTTCCTTAATTTCCAGCCCCTGTCCAAATGCCCTTGTCATTCCAGATGTTCTTTTCTGTTGTTTCTCCAGCTCTGAAGTATCTATTTTGTCTTATGTACTTTAGCAAAAAGATCTCTGAACTTAGGTTTGAACCCTAGCTCCA